ACACTGCTCTACTGACCTCTCATCAATCAGCTTCTGCATCTACTGCAGCCCAGGGAAGGAAGACAATGACAATGCTAGGACTTTCTGATATTTTTGTTTTCAGTCCCCAAACAAGAGTTGAGTAAGGCACTTGGTGGGGGGCTGTGATGCCTTGACTGGTTCTTCTCAACGACATTTACCTTGTTTTTAGACTCACCGAAGCCAAAGGGCAGTGAGCTCCCCCTCCTATTCTCTCTAGCCCAGAATTTTTTTATACGTTTTTTCTCCTAGCCCAGAATTTTTAAGAGTTTCAAATGCCATGTCAATATCTGTTAGTTTGCACAAATACCTTCAAGCAGGAATCAAGTAGTTATACCGATCAAGACACTAAAGCCTTTGGTGCAAAACTTTTGGCATTTGCTGAGACTCGATGAAAACAGAATCTAAAATCTATGCCCATCCTAAGCTGATATAATAAGCCTTCTTCAATCAGCAAAAGGCTATACAGAATTTGCAGAGCTACAGAAACAATCTACAAGCACTTTAGACGAACAAGAAGTCGTGTTATGCAGATGTGAAGAACTTGGAGGCTAGAGGGACAGGTAGAATTCAAAGCAAGCATGAGTCCAGGCCAACCAGCTCATGTTTACTATAGAAAAATGTTACATTTGTTTTTTCAAGCCCCAAAGTTCAACTGTCCAATTGTACCCTGGAAATAATCCTTCCTTTGTGTTTCCTGAAAGTAAATACTATAAATGGTACTTCACTTATCAATGGAAGCAGTGACAGCCAAGTGTTTCCCAAGGCCTACAGTGGGAAAACAGCCTGGGAGGTTCTGGTTTCCCAGTAGATTCCATGGCCTGTCTAAGGCAGATGAGAGGGAGAAGATTTCCATGCAGGGAAACCGACGGGAAACTGAAGTCACAGTACAGCTGCCTCCCAGCCAAGGATGCAATATAAACAGCTTCCCTGGAGCCTGGCCAGATGTTTTCTCTAAACACACCAACAGGCCCTTGGATCTATAATGGGATCTAATGAAGGGAACACCTCACAGATTCAGAAGCCTCAGAGACTATGAGACAGAAATCTGAACAAATATAAAGGTGAAATCCTCAAACAGGCTGTGGTATGCCCAGGATCTAACATCTGAGATCTTCTATGTGAAGAGTCCTTATTTGTAACCTGAGATAGTCACCTTCTAGAACAAAAGAGGGTGTGTCTTGGTAGGTGTGATAAAGTCAGGAACTTGAGACAGGGAGGTGGTCCTGGATTACCTGAGTGAGCTCTAAATACATGCACATCCTCAGAAAAGGGCAGAAGGAAGAGCTTTGGTATGTAGAGTTAACAATGAGAAGATGTAGCTAAAAGCAATTAAAGATCCTTGCTGTTGAGTAAATGCAGCCATGAGAAGGAAAGCCAAACCACATGAAGCTGGGAGAGAAAAGGTGACCAGCCCTGTGAAATACTGATTTCAGACTTCTGGGCTATAGGACTGTGAGAGAATACGTTTCTGTTGTTTAAAGCATCAAGACTGGAACTTGTTATAGAAACGAACACACACAGCAATATAGTGTTCCTGCCTCTCTTCCTTGGCCAGCACTCATAGAAAGGACCAAGTATGTGCCAAAGCTGGGGACAGTACACCATGTTAGGAAGATCCCAATGACAGCCTAGGCACAGAGGATGGGTATACACCATTAGTCCTCTGAGTTCATACCAGAACATTTCATGATGAAAGGGATGTTTCACTGGCCTTGAGGGGATATTTCACCACCGCCTCAAAGGTGAGGTTAATGTGGGAAGTGCTCCAGTCAAGGGCCCAGGATGAAGAAGGTCATTGGCTGGCAAGAATCCAAAAATACAATGATGAAAGGTCTAAAATTGATCAAAATGCATTGTACTTATAAACTGAAATGCTAAATGGTAACCCCTTTGTAAAATTACTTAAAGATTTTTTTAAGGAATCCAAGATGTTCAGCAGGTGGCTGAAGGGGAGGAGGCCTGAGTAAAGAAGATGGAAAGGTAAGTTGAAATCAGACCATGCTGAAACCTGAGGCAGGCCAGGACCAGCTCTGCTGTAAAGTGGGTCCTCTCTGTGCTAGCAGCATTCCCTGCAAAGACAATGTGTGCAAGCTATCCACGAAACAGAGGTTGAAAACAGTGTTAGAAACATGAGTCCCAAAAGTATGATCGCTGGGGCACTAAGGAATTGGAACTAAGGGCTGTACTTGTTGAGTCTGAACCCCAGTTCTGACACTGGGCTTGGCATTGAGTACTGCAGGTGCAGGAGAAGAGAAAGCACACAGCCAGGCAAGAGAAGGAGCAGGAAAGAAGGGAGTTACAAAGATGGAGGAATGGAGGCAGAGATACAAGGAGGAAATCAAGCAGGGCATTGGTGGCTTACACCTGTAATCCTAGCTACTCAGAAGGCTGAGATCCGAGGATCGCCATTCAAAGCCAGCCTGGGCAGGAAAGTTTGTGAAATTTATCTCCAATTAAACACCCCCAAAAAAGTCAGAAATGGAGCTGTGGCTCAAGTGGTAGAGCACTATCCTTGAGCAAGAAAGCTCAAAGCTCAGTGACAGTGCCCAGACCATGGGTTCAAGCCCAAGGACCAATGTGCGCACACACGTGCATGCACACGCGCACGCGCATACACACACACACACACACACGGAGGAAGTCAGGGGCTTCTGTGTAGCAGATCTGCTGTCTAAATTTCTGTTTTCTGTCTCTACACTATGTACCTTCCCTCTTCCAGGAGACTGAGTCCCAGAAGACTCTGTGGTCATTCCTGTCCAGTTGCTGCCAGCAGCCTAGTTAATCTATGCCCTTGCTTGATTTTGTGATTCTTGGTTCCACCATTAATGGATGAGGAGCTGCCATCCCACTGGGAACTCTGCCTGGCCCATAGCCATTTGTATATGGAGCCTGGTAATTAGGGCTATAAGAATCAGGAGGCCAGAGGACAGGTTATGTTTAGACAAACTTGGGTGTTTGCACTGGGGCATTGGAGGGCCAGTGAGGTGGCCTCAGCTTTACCTGCTAACATGCCCTTGGGACGGGGTCCCGGCTGCTGCTGCCTGTCCTCCTACCATCCCTGAGAAGCTAGAGTCCATAGACTTAGAAAGCCATGGGCAGCACTGAGCAGGGCAGCCTTACTGGGGTCAAGTCTTCCATCCATAAACTGAGCAGCCTTCGAAAGCTCCCTGACTTCTCTGGGTCTCAGCCCTCCTAGAAACTGAGATTAACTGAGCTGGCTCACTCCATGGGTTTGCTAGATAAAAGTACTTTGCACCCTACAAAATGCTCCATAAAGGAGCAGGGTCATTCCTGCATGTGGCTTGGGATCCATCCTACCTTGCTAAAGGTTGGACAATGAGGATCCAAAGGTGTGCATTAGGGGGACAGGGTGGGGAGGGTGTGCGTGTTTTCCTCTAGCAGCAGAAAGGCACAGGTTTTGCTGGGGAACCTGGCAGGCCTCACCAGCATTGGCAAGGCCCAGGGCAAGAGTGCACTCAGAGGCCATTGCCCATATGTCTCAAATTTAAAAGGCATAAATCAGGCTAACAAACCGTTAAATGAAATATGCTTCATCCTCCCACCTTGTTAAACATGTCTTCAACACAATCTAGATGGCTGGGCTGGAATTTAGAATTCTGGGGCTCCTTGGTGTTCCATGCCAGGGTATGCAGTGTGGGAAATGCTCACCTGACCATCACCTGACACACTGCTCTCCGCAACCCTGGCTCCACTCTTTACCGTGAGGGACCTCACACACCTGTGGGACACCTAGGCCTCACATTCAAGCTCTGTCAGCCTCCCGACAAAAGGCGATCATCCAGTGACATGGGCTGTCTTCAGAAGAACAGCCCTGAGGATGAAACTGGAAGGGGCTCCAGGGTTGGGAGAAAGGGCACAGGCATGGCCCCTTGGCTGGGTATACTTTCCCTGTTCCCTGGAGACAAGGGGCACTGCCCTGAGAGTGCAGACTTCTAAGAAGTGGCTCCCCAAAGTGGGGAATCTTTCTTACCTGGTATAAGAGTGTTTCTAATTGGCTTCTGGTGTCACCTGGCCTTCCACTTGCTGGGTGATTTAGCATGTCCCAACCTCTTTCTGGCCTTGATTTCCTTGTTAATAAAGTGGGATGAATGGACCCTTCTACTTCTCAGAGTAATGGTTTTGAGGCTCCAAAGAGAAAGTAGTTATGGAGTCAGGGGATGGGAGACAGTGGTGTGGGTTTGGAGAAAATCAGCCCTTAGAATTCCCAGGCATGGAAAAGGGGCATGTGGCCTCTACAAATGACTCCAGCCGGTGACAATGCTGCCCAGGAAAACAGTCTGACAACATCCCATAGAGATTCAATTTTTCTTGTGCTTAAAAACATATGCTTTATAAAAGAACACCGTGGGTATCTCTGCTATGCTAATTCCCTTAATATACAGCCCACAGCACCACAATACTATCTTGCTTTGTCCCCATGATGCAAGAAGACATAATATGATGTCTCTCCTTTTCAGATTTTCTGAAACTGACATATCACTGGATGGAGGAGATCAGGTCTCAATGGTGTTCAGTTTAGAATCAAATGACAAGGCCATCAACAACCTGACTGTCTTGAACATATCATCTCACCCTCAAAGAGTAAGGCCACCAAAGACACCTTAGAGGCTTCTGACTGGTTATACCACATACACTAGGGAGAGGGGGTGACAGTCAGCAGAAGGAAGAAAGGTCAGGGGAACCTCCTTACTGGCTGGCCCTGGATCCTTCTATGTTCAGATTCCCCATGTGGCCAACAAGGCTGCTTGAGTGACAGACAAGTACCCTCTGTCTGATGTCCTCCCCAGTGCAGTCCCACTAAAGACTCAGCTGCAGGAAACAGGTTGAGCCGACTTCTACTGATTTATTCAGGACTGCTTCCCAGATGTGTGGAGGTCAGCTGGGCTGTTCAGGGGGCTTCCCTCCCACCGAAACCCCGTCCGCTGCCTGCTGTGGAGACGCCAACAGTGCAAACTCACCAGGCACCATCCCTGTCAGTGTCGGTGCAGAGTAGCTGCCCTGTCCAGCGGGGGGGACGTGTGGAGGGTACCCGGGGAGGGTTGTGCTCGCCAAGTCGCGGCCTGAGGAATCAAAGCAACAAATCACTGGGTGAGCATCTCCATGGCCAGCTGCTCATCCCAGCATCCCAGACACGTCTGCACATTTGTCACGTCTGGTCACTGAACACCAATGTGCCCTCAGCTTCCCCCATTGCTCATGCATGCTCATATGTGCTCTCTCTCTCTCTCTCTGAAACACACACACACACACATATACACACACACACATCTCCAGTCATCCTCACTGTGCTTAGCAAAAGCCAACAAGCCAGGACTGAGGCCCATCCATGGGGCAGGGACAATAGAGATGTCACACAGCATCTCTATTGGAAAGGCCCACAGCCTCCAAACTCTCAAACCCTCTTGCCAGTTCTGTGTAACAAAGTCATCATGGATGAGACTGTCACCTGGGCCTTGAGAGATCACACTGTTGTGACTGATGTTGAGGACACCAGGCTGTCCTCTCTTGGAATACAACTTGGACTTCTCTACCTCTGCCCCATTGCTTCTCATGGGTATTCAACATGCAGATCCTCATCCTCCAGCTGCACATTGTCTCCATCGCAACCTTCACAGACCTGTTCCTGTGCTCCCTCCTGCCCCCATGTCTCCCTCCTGTCCTTTGACAGTGGGTGGGCAGGGAAATTCCTGCCTCACACTTTCCAGTTCCAAATCTTGCCCTGTACTGGTGTCTCCTACCTTGGCCCAGAGCTGTCCTTCACTCAGTGATGATGCAAAGAGCTCCTCCCACCAAGTGTGGTCCTGGCCCTGGCATGTATAGGTGAAGGCCCTGCTCCATAAGCACTCCAGTGGTGAGACTCCAGCTCTTGCAGGCTTATAGTTCTGAGTAAATCCATAAACCAGTCAAGCATTCAAATGTGCTTGAATGTAGATCAGAAAGAATGGAGACACCATAAGAGACACAGGGTTGAGAGCTGCCTGTCTCTTAGGGAAAGGGCCCACAGCCCCTCAAACTCTCTTGCCAGTTCTATATAGCAAAGTCATCATGGGTAACACTGTCACATGGGCCTTGAGAGATCACACTGTTGTGATTGATGTTGGACCTTAGAGGACCTTAGCCTATGGAGGACTAGCAGTTGTCCTAAAAAGAAAGACAAGTACCCTTATCAGCCATCCCAAGAAGTAGTGGGAAATGAAGTGGCCCTGGGACTAGGGAGGGAAGGTGGAACCTTGGTCTCCTCTGAATATGGACAGTGATGACAGGGAGGTTATGGGGGAACCAGAAGAAGCTAAGAGATAGAGGTGAGTGACTGCTGACCATACAGAGTCAGATGGGTCTGTGTAGCATATAGTAGCCTCCTTGAAGCCTGGAAACATAGGTAGATGTCTTGGAGCCCAGACCTACTAGTAGGTAGCCACAAGAAGAAGGCCATCTCTAACCAATGTTTTCCAAAGAATGCAAGCAAGCCCTTGGTGAGAGCCAGTGAATGTTATCTGAATAAATAAATAAGGCCTTCTAGTGCCATCGTTCAAAGACTGACTAGCAGCACTCAGAAGATGTTTCATTTCACAGTTCTGTCTACTTTCCAGAACCTCCCAGAACACAAGGCAACACCAGACAGAAGTCCTTCCCTGACTCTGCTCGTCACTTCCCTAGTTTTGGGTTGGTCATCCTGGCTCAGATCTCTTAACTTGAGTCATCATTAGAGAAAGATTAGTTCTCATAGCCTCCATCCCCCACTGCATCCATCAGAGCTAATATGGCTCCCCATGAGAGCAGGGATTAAAAAAAACTGAAGCCAATAAGACTGGCCACGGGTGAGTTAAGGTTGCCTTGACTACCCCTCCTGTGCCTCTCCTCTCTTCCTTCAATCAAATATCCACAGACCTCTATGGCAGCTCTTCTCTCTGTAAAGTAGAAACTCTAGGGATCAGATCTTTTTTCCCCAGGGTTGGAATTGCATAGACCTTGGGTATTTGCTGGGTGAATGAGAGATTTAGTCTTACTAAGGAAACAGAAGCCAGTAACAGTCTCTTTTGTCCATGCTCAAGAACCAATGCAAGAAGGGCTCTTAGGAGCTCTTATTAACCAACCCCTGTTGCCTGGTGCAAAGACTGAGACCTAAGGTAGGGAAGGGGAACAACTGGCTCATGTCCTACAGGGACAGGTGGCAGAAAAGGTACTTCAGCCCATTTCTTAACATCAGCCTAGAGCTTTCTTTCTACCATGAGTAGGGGGAGCAGATGGCACAGAATGTCAGTGGCCCAGGGTGGCTGAAAAGGCATCGGAAGCAACAGAGCACATGCAAGTTACATACTCAGTATATGATTAAGATGCCAGTGGCCAGATGGTATGACAGGGAGAAAAGACAACCAATGGCAAAGTTGCTTTAATAAACTGTCTCCCCTCCCCACCAAGCTCACACCCTGATGATGACAATGATAAAGACATACATTGCAACTATAAAACACCAAATGGTATCCTAAGTATTTTAATGGTTAAGTCACTCAACAATCCTAGGAGGTAAGGTACTGACAGGATCCCCAACTTAGAGGAAAATGCAACTTGTTCCAGACTACAGTGTTAAAGTTCATACAGCTAGCCACTCCTCCCCACTTCACTGCCTTGAAGTAGGGCAGTCTCTGTTTCTGGACACAAGTCCAGAGGCTCCACTAATTCTCAAACTGTATACTGTCACTATTACTTCTCGGTTGTATCTCACAGAAGGAAACTGAATCATTTATTTTTTACCGATGAGCATGTTGCAGGGAGGCTAGGACACAAAGAGATAAATGCCCAGCCTGCTTCCTAAAAGATGGGCACTATCTTGACAGGAATATGATTGTATGGCTACCAACACCCTTCCAGCTGCTTGGTGGAAGAAGACATTGAGTAGGGAATGAACTTACGCATCAACACTCATTAGATCTGAGCAAGGATGGACCTGGAGTCCAGTGCTCCTGCCTCCTGGGATTGGGTTCTTCCTTCAGTAGGGGGTTGCCCTTTTGGTATTGTTTAGCTAACAGTTTCTGCCACTGTACACATGCTTAAAACCTTGATCCCTCAAGCAAAGGTTTAGAAAATCAGAGCCTCACTGAAGCGCTCAACTCAAAAAGCCAGATAAAAAAGCAATAAAAGCAACCTAGGGTAAGGAGTAAGAAGGAATCAATAAAAAATAAAAGTAAAAAGTGATTAGGAAACAGAACAGATATAACAAGTAAAACCTAATTTAAAAGGCCAATAAGATAGACAAACCTGGGTCAAGATAAAAAATGAATGAAGAAAAGGAATGAAGAGAAGATATAACCAGAGATACAAGAGAGTGTATATAAAAGAATAAAATGCACTCTTCATTAGCAAATCTGGAAATCTCAGCTTAAAAGGTACATTTTAGGAGCACCTGACCTCCTTACATTTAAGGAAAACATGAATTAGCAATACTAAACTCAAGAACAGTAGATATGACAACAGAAAGACTTAGGAAAATAGTCTTTTCTCAAAATAAGTACCTCACCATTTAGCTTCTTGTACAAATTTTGCTTATTTTTGTTTACATTAAGTTCTTTTAAATTTTCTTTTTTTGGGGGGGGTCTGGTCATGGGGCCTGAACTCTGGGCCTGGGCGCTGTCCCTCAGCTCTTCAGCTCAAGGCTAGTGCTCTACCACTTGAGCCACAGCGCCACTTCCGGCTTTTTTTTTCTTTTTGCTTATGTGGTGCTGAGGAATCGAACCCAGGGCCTCAGGCATGCAAGGCAAGTGCTTTACCACTGAGCTACCTTCCCAGCCCCGTTCTTTTAAATTTTCAAGAGATACATTCTCAACTATTAACTTGTTCCATAACATGTTAAACCAAGAAACTTACTGATTTATTTCATCAGGTTAGAATAATTCTGATATTAAAAAAAATCACAACACCTAGTTGGTAGTTTTGCAACTAGATGTTTGTCTTTATATCTCATAATTCATTAGTACTCTCATGATATATTAGTATAGAAGCAAATTGTTTAATTTCTTCATTCTTGCTGCTATTAATTTATTAGTAGTACTAAAACTACTAACACACTGGTTGAGCACTATTAGAGAAACAATATAGTTGATGAACGAATGAAGTTTATTCTAGATATGCAAGGATGGTTTGATAGTAAAACATTGGTCAGGATTTCATATTAATGTATCAAAGAAGGAAACCAAATAATTATAATAGATTTGGAAAAGGTACTGGCTAAGATTCAGTATTCACTTTTTATTGAGTATTAAAATATACTTCTTTGATCTTCTATTGATTTTAAAACCTAAAGTCAATATATTTCATTGTTGAAATATCTGATAAATTCCTAAATCAAAAATATGTCAAGAAAGCCTATTATTAACATGATCACTGAAAATTGTGCTGAAGTCTTCAGACAATACAGTAAGGTGAAATGGAGACAAAAGAGGAATAAATATGGAAGGGAAAAAATCCCCACATTCCCATTAGCTGTATATGTCTTGACATGAAAAGTCCTGAGAGCTGGTTTATCCATGAAAACCAGTGAAAATGCTGGTACAACAGGCAGATAATAGCTGTCCATAACTGTGGGTTTTCTACATTCAGTAACTTTTACCACCTATTTAAGAACAGTCTTTGTCCTAGGACCTTCTTAATCCGTGCCCCATAGGTGGTCTTTTTGAGCCCTGTCAATGACTGCTCTCAGTGCCAGCTCCTGTACCTCCCCCATGCCTTTGCTCAGACTGTCCTACTTTTAAATCTTCCTGACATTCCTATCAGTTAAATATTGTTCTGCCCAATCTCCAAGTCCCCACTTTGAAAGCCTGTTCTTCTGGGGAGACCTTTTCTAGATACTTCAAAGTCCTTGCGGTATCTACCTGCTGAAGGTCCTTCTGTGCCTCTGACCCCTATCCCAATGCAAAGAAAGCATCACACAAGACAGCACACAGACAAGCTGCAAGTGGTAGCACTTTGAATGATCTAACAGCTCTATTTAATGCTAAACACTCTTACATATATTAACTCACCTAATCATCCTAGCAACCCTGTGAGGATCAGACCATCATCATGT